AAACTTACAAAAATTAATAAGAATATATTTATTAAAATAATTAACGCTCCACATTAATATAAAAATAATCTGTGGTGAAACCTACATAAAATATCAAAACATGCCACTAATTTCTATGAGACTGTTTTCTAATTCCCATGAAAAATGAAAAACTTTTGTCACAGATTTTATCACAGCTCAAATAATAACACCTCCTAAATAAGCCCAAGCTGTCCATCACAGATCCTTCTTTGTTCTGCAGTGAATTTCATGACTAAATATAGCGTTTGGTTTAGTTTTATGGCATGAATTGTTTTATTGGATCACATCAGCTAAATCATTAGGAAGTGCCTCCAGACGCATCCCTCCTGTGGCTCTTAAAATGATTACGTTCTGCTCTAAGCTAAATTGATTTTATTAAGTTGTTTTTATAATTATATACTAAATGTAAACTTCCTATGCTACATCTCTAGCAGGAAAAGTATGTGACAAAGCTTCAGTTAATCTCAATCAGCCGGTTTTACAAGCAATACCAGAAAGAACAGACTTTTTTTTTTTTTTATCACCCATACTTTTTATAAGCAATTTCTTAAAATCATTATGAGACACAATCTGGCTAATACTCTGCTGGCTCTCTAGTGTGTTTTTATTTTCTCTGAACCGCATCGTGCAGCGAGGGATTTACTGTTTATTGCTGCAGCCTAAATGGAAAACGGTTGGTGATCGTTTAGGATCTAGTAATGTATGTAAACATTATAATGACGTACACAGATAAGGGACATAGCACACCTTCTAAACACACAAGTATACGAGATAAATTATTAGAATAATCCTAGTTAGAGTGTTTCTTATTGAAAAAACAAGAAGGACATGAAGCAGAAGGATGAAAACATGTCGGCCGGTCGCTGAGCTTATTAACATGTAATCTCTGTAGTCTGGCCTTTAATATAATCCCATCCCTATTGTCTCACCGTACAGTTTGCTTAGAAATGTTGTCAGTTTGAAACGCCGAGCCCGAGTCCACTTTGCATGCGTTAGCGGTTTGTGTTATCTCCTTACACACTGAAGCGGTTATCCCCGACTGTAAAGCTCAGATTTCTTTCCATATGTTGCCCCATATGGACCTTTGATCCTGCAGAAAATTTGCTGCCTAACGCTGATTGACAAACTGTGTGCCAAGAGGGGTGCAGCCTCCAGGGAAGATATTATAATGTGAGTTAGATCCAATAATGCCCTAAATGAGCGGCATACATACTGTAGGCTCGCAGCAAAGCAGATAACCTAATAGAGATACTTCCAGCTGTTTACATTAAATATTACAATAGAGACCCATGTCTGGTAAGTGATCTGTTATAACGGTTAAACGGAGCTCCAGGTTTCTATTTTTTGTATTGTTTACTGTTTCAGTTGAACGTTTAGATTTTAGATAAAAGTCTGTTTTTTGACTCATATTCAGGGTTCCCGCGGGTCCTTAAAGAGTCTTAAAAGGCACTGAATTCTTCAAAATAAAACTAAGGCCTTAATTCGTATTAA